ATTGATGCTTTTGAGTTGTGGTGCTGGCGAAGAATGCTGAAAGTACCATGGACTGCTAAAAGAACTAACAGATCTGTCCTGGAGGAAGTGCACCCAAATGCTCCTTGGAAGTGAGAATGGCCAGACTCCGTCTCACCTATTTTGGTCATGTTGTCAGAAGGGACCATACCTTGGAGAAGGATGTCATGCTTGGTAGGGTGGAGGGTCGATGATAGAGGGGAAGACCTTCAACGAGATGGATTGACATGGTGGCTGCGTTGATGGGCTCAAGTATATCAGAGATTGTGGGGCTGGCGCGGGATTGGGCAGTGTTTTGTTCTGCTGTACACGGGGTCGCTATGGGTCGGAAACGACTTGATGGCACCTACGACAACAACAACATAAATATTCTTGAGATGGTTTTTCTAGGATATAGTTATTTGGAAGCAACGTAATCCTTTTAGGTCTTGCTTTTATGATTTGGTGGCTGAGCTCAAAGCTTTTTCTCATTACTGAGACGTGACCTTCTTGATTATTCTACATACAGTAAGATGCAAAGACGTGGAATAAAGTTTAGCATAGTCATTGAGGCAGTGTTAAAGAGTTTCATCTACCATCAATAATTTTCCCAGTTTGGCTTTTGGGAACAGTTATCATTGCATGCCTTTTGTGAGTGCTTGCATTGTTCTCTAATCCTTTTGGCTAATTTTATTCTCCAGCTTTGCGTAGTTTCCTCACTTGCACGTGGTTTTCACTTGAATACTTGAGGAGGACCCTGTAGGTTTTAGTCTTTGTGCTGCTCTGTTCTCTTTGGTACTTTTTCCTGTGATCCCTGGTTGCCTTTGTTTTCCTTGACTCTTAAATCCCTCTCCTCAACACAGTGTTTGCCGAGTTCTGCCTCCATTCTCTCCTTGTGCCGTAGCCTAGATGCTCTCAGGTGCTCAGCAGGGACATTTGTAGTGCTTGCCTCCTTTGCTGGCTTTCTCTTAGGTATCACTGTCCTTATTACCTCATGTCCAGTGTTTGAACACTTACATTTCTTAGATTTTTATATACTCACACTCTTATACACATGTGTACACACATACACACACATATATATTTTTTTCCAGGTGGGAGGTAAATCTTGTCCCTATTATTCCATCTTGGCTGTAGATGGATATTCCTGCTCTACTTTTAATTTTTTCCAGTGTATTTTTCTTCTAACTATTCTGTATAATTTTGTTATGTTTATTACTAATATAAAGGAGCTCTGGTGACTGCTAACCAGAAGGGTGGAGGTTCAAACCCACCAGCCACTCCTCAGAAGAAAAGTTGGGCAATCTACTTCCGTAGTGATACTGCCTCGGAAACCCAAGGAGGGGGTTGCTATGAGTCGGATCCGACTTGATGGCAGTGAGTTTGGTTTGGTTTGGGGGTGCAGTGGTTAAAATATTTGGCTGCTAACTAAAGGATAGGTTGTTTGAACCCATCAGCTGATCCGTGGGAGAAAGATGAGGCAGTCAGTTTCCGTAATGATTTATAGCCTTGGAAACTCTATTGGGCAGTTCTACTCTGTCTTACAGGGTTGCTATGAGTCAGAATTGACTTGATGGTAGTGGGTTGGGTTATTGTTAATATAAACATTATTACATAGGCATTAAATATTTGTTGTTTCACTATTGAAGGGCGATAAGAAGTGAATAAGATAACGTTCCCATTCCTACAGAGCTTGATGGCACTTACTAAGTGATTGTTTAACATAGTTGTTATTTTTATATAGTGTAGCATGGACCAGAGAGACTATTTTATTTTATTTAGAAAGAATATTTAGCTAAGTGAATGAGTAAATCTATATGGCTTGCTTTCTTCAGCATACTTTTCTTAGCAACTTACAGTATTTACAGAGACACAAACGTTTTAAAGTCTCTGAATATTCATGGTCATAGGTACCATTTGTTAAGTACTTATTGTGCCAAGAATTGTTTATCACTAGAGTAGCATACCATAGTATGGAAATTTTCTACGTAAGGTAAATGATAACTCTTAAACCTACGTTCTTTCTTTCTTTTTTTATTCTTTATTGTGATTTGGGTGAAAGTTTATAGAGCAAATTCATTTTCCTTTTTCCATTCAACAGTTTGTACACATTTTGTTTTCTGACATTGACTGCAGTGCCCACAATGTAACTGCTCTTTTCCCACTTTCTCCCTGTGGTTACCTTTTCCCTGTGACCTTCTTCCTGTGCGTTCCTACCTTCTGAGCTTGCTGCCTGCATAAATGCTGCCCTTCTGACTTCCCCAAACCAAACCAGACTCACTGCCGTCAAGTCGATTAGACTCATACGACACCCCCCTTTGGGTTTCCAAGGCAGTATCACTGTGGAAGTAGATTACCTGGTTTTCCTTCCAAGGAGTGGCTGGTGGGTTTGAACCACCAGCCTTCTGGTTAGCAATCAAATGCCTTAGGCACTACACTTGGAGCTCTGGTAGCATAGTGCCTAAGATACTTGACTGCTCACCAGAAGGCTGGCAGTTCAAACCACCAGCCACTCCTCGGAAGGAAGGTTGGGCAATCTACTTCTGTAGAGATAACTGCCTCGGCAACCCAAGGAGGGGTTGCTATGAGTCGGGTCCGACTCGATGGCACATAACAAAAACAACAACAGGCACTACATCACCACCCAGTGTTGATTATTCTAAGGAGTGTATCTCCTTTGTGTAATTGTTCAGCTCATAGGCCTATCTGTTTGGCTAAAAATTAACCTATGGGAGTGAGTTCAGTTCTAGTCCTGAAGGGTGACTAGGGACCATAGGTCTCAGGGGTTTCATTAGTATCTATCAGACTGGTCTTTTTTATATTAACAAAGTATATTTAAATTGGTGTGCTAGACAGAACTCCCTGAGTTTGAGGAGGGTTGTATTTTTTTTCCCGTGGTTTTTTTTTTTCAATGTTTTACATAATTCTTGACACGTAGTAGCTACATGAAATTAGAGAAGGTAATGAAGTAGCCTACCAGAAATAAGAAGCAAATTAGCAGTATAATCTAATATTGAATGTACTGATAGAAATACTTTAAAAGTATATTTAATGATATGCTTCTGTGTAGAAAATGTGAAGGTTTGTTTTGTGATGAGAATGTATGAAAACTTCCTGCTTACTACTGCCTAGCACATCTTAGGGAGTCCATAAATGTCTTTTCTTTTCTTCCTAAGTATTTCAGAAAAAATGACTAAAATATTCTTTTTAGAGTAAATAATACGAATATAAATCGTTTGGGGATGGAGTTAAGGAAGATACAAAATAACAGTCTGATAATGTTCATTTTAACCTATTGAGTCAAGTATTGTGGTATTTACACATTGTGGGTGGTTATTAGTCTCTGATAAATTAATATTGAATATTTACTGAAAAAATTTTTGTTAGGTATGTAGCAATTGGTAGCTCTTTAAATCTTGATTTTTCCAGCAGCAAAATTAGAAAAGTTATATAATTTACCTTGCTGGTATGTGAAACCTAATAAATTATGTTAAACCTAATGGGCTCTTAATTTTGAATTATAACTTTCATACCACACTTAAATAAATGGATACGAACATAGTTGGCAAATTCTACATCTCTGCTTGGCTTATTTGAAAAATAGAAGCAGTTGCTTAACTGGATGACTATCAAAGTGGTCAACACAGATTGATGGGCTTGGTTGCAGTGGAGAGTGGATATGCAGATGGTGGTGTCTGTACATTTGACTCAAGATGGCTGAGTCTCTAAAATGATTTCAGTGGAATGGCTTTGGTGGTGTTTCAGTAAAGGGCATGCATTCAACCTCAGGTGCTGTGCAGATGGCCAAGCCAAGCTAATATAGAAAAATGAGAAACAAGTGACCGTTTAATGTACAGGAATGCATGATCCACATCACTAACAAATGACGGTATTACATGCAGGAAACCTAGCCAGATGGCTGTACATTAAAACACATGACTCCTTGAGAGAATTAAGTACAGGCAATTTGCTCAGATTTTTCTGCAGACCTGCTGCATATTATATTAGGGTAGGGAGAACAAGAGATTAAGTGCTTTATTTATTGAAAGTGTTTAGGTGAAGTTGGCAGTTACTTAAGCATAATCTGATCTCCCTAAGTATTTAAATTGTCTTTTTATGGAGAAAAAAGTGGAGAGGGGGTGGTTGGCTTTACAAAAAAAAAAAAAAAGTATAAGGAGTGAGATTGTCTAGTGAACCTATAAAAACTATAGAAACTATACAACTGCACTTTGACCCATATTTTTTGTTTTATAAAGGTCTTTCCACTAGGCTAAAGCTTAAAAAATAATTTTTTTTGCACAAGTATGATAAAAGTCCTTTTTCTATACAGGTTTTAATGAATCCAAATACCAGTAACATATGGAAATTTTAAACTGGGAAGGGTTAATGTGTTGAGTGCCGTGTGAAGTAGGACCATTTTCACTAGTGAAATATTACATTTTTGTTTTTCAGCTTAAAGAAAGTGGTTATTGTACAGGTCATGAACCAGATTCCCTGGAATTCAGCACTGTGGGAGGATGGGTATCTACTCGGGCATCAGGCATGAAGAAGAATATCTATGGCAATATTGAGGACCTGGTAAATTTTTTCTAATATTATATAATAATTGATTAATATATAGAGAATACTATAAAGTGATTAAATGCTTTTAAAAATTATGAATTGCCTGGTGAAGCTCCAAAAGAGTATACTTCTTTTGATTATAATAATGTTAAATGTGCACAAACCAAAACGCAAAACCAAACCCATTGCCTTCGAATCGATTCTGACTTACAGCGACCCTAAAGGACAGAGTAGGGAACTGTCCCTTAGGGCTTCTAGCAGCCAGAGCTTAACCACTGCACCACCACAACTCTCTAAGTATGTATAAATATGTATAGTAGAAGCAATTAAAAGAAGCAACTGTTGTCCTTGTTTAAGGATGTCTTGGGTCTCTGAAAATCGATTCAATACCACCTAACAACAACTCTAGTTGATTTAGTATGTTAACTTTGTAGTTGTTTCACAGTATTTGATTTATATATAAATAATTTTTCACAAGCCTCTTAGATACTCAGTCTTCAACTCTACCAAGATAATAGTCCATTTATTTAGGTGATTTCATCATCATTACTCTGTTGCCTAAAGATTTAACATTTATTTTTCTGAAAAAAAATTTTTCTGTGTAGAATTGAAGAGCCTGATTGAAAATGTTTTGCTGAGTAGCAGTATGGCACTTAATGCTTCATGTGCATATCATTTGGTTTTAAGTGATCTAGTACTAGTTCTCTGGGAGTTGTTGTTGTTGTTGGTATGTGCCCTTGAGTCGGTCCTGACTCATAGCGACCCCTCCTTGGGTTTCCGAGACAGTATCACTACAGAAGTAGGATTGCCCAACCTTCCTTCCGAGGAGTGGCTGGTGGGTTTGAACCGCCAGCCTTCTGGTTGGCAGTCAAGTGCCTTAGCCACTATGCTACCAGAGCTCCTAGTTAGTGTGATAATAGTGTAAATATGGGCAGCCTGGTTAGCAGGTAGGTATTATTTGTGCCATTTGTAGCTTTTCTTATGATTAGCCTTGTGACTTTGTACAAATTGGTTTACCTTTCTAAACTTCTTACCTTCTTCTCTAAAACAAAATAAAACAAAAAAGTTGCCTTCAAGTCATTTTTGACTTAGAGTGACCCTGTGTGTCAGAGTTAAACTGTGCTGCATTGGCTTTTCAATGGCTGATTTTTCAGAATGCCAGGCCTTTTTTCCAAAGTACATCTGGGTAGACTTGAACCTCCAACCTTTTGAGTAATGGCTAAGCACATCAACTGTTTACATCACCCAGGGTCTCCTTTGTAAAATAGAATAATGATATTTGCTGCATAGAATTATTAATAAGACATAATAAAGTGAAAACTCTTACCTTGATATTTTGATACCAGTTTAAAAGAGTTAAAATTTTTGGAACTATTAAAGTGATGTTCCTAACATTATACCTGGAACTGCTGAGCATTGCTTTTCAAATCTAAAGTTTCAACATTTCATCATTATCTTGTTTGGTAGGAATATAAAATCTTTAATGAAATATGTTGGTTCTTTATAGTTAACACCTGATCATTTGAGACTTTTAAGTGTCTGTTTCATGAACAGTTTAAAAATGTTTACATTATCTTATTTGTTTGCTTTTTAAAAGAGGACTTTGAAAAAAAATCACATTTTTCTTTTTGGAATTAAAAGAGTAAATTCAGTTTCAGGAGAAAATTGAATTCTTTTGCTGTTGATTATTGAGATCTTTATCAGAGTTAGGCAAATATTTGACAGACTGCTTCATTTAGTACTGCTAAGACATATCATGGGAGCTCTGGTAGTGTAGAGCCTAAGGCATTTGACTGCTAACCAGGAGGCTGGCGGTTCAAACCCACCAGTCACTCCTTGGAAGGAATGTTGGACAATCTACTTCTTCTATAGTGATACAGCCTCAGAAACCCAAGGAGGGGTTGTATTTTAATCATTTTTTGGAAGAGATTTAAGAACTATAAATTATAAACATACATGCTCTTGTACTTTTTTGAGTTAATAATTACTTAGCATATTTTATCTTTAAACTTGAATTTCTTTTTACTTAAAATATCTTTCGCAATAGATAGCTTCCTCTGAAACTGTCTTAATTTACATTAATTACATTAATTCCATAAAATGGAACCCATGAAACTCAATTTAATATTTTCGAATGTGTTAATGTATTTCCCTAGTCAATATTAGTGCATGTTTAAAGTACATAGATACTGATGCTAACACCTTATTTAATTGGTTTGGAAAAAAGCTGAAGATAGTTGTTTAATTTCAAATCTTTTAACATAATAATCTGAACATTGAGAAGTTTTAATAGTGTTCTGCACACAATAGAATGAACTTAAATTTTTGTCCACACTTGTTTTCAAAGTCATTTTAAGGAATGCTAATTACAGTTGAACTCAAATGTATCTTGATTTAATGTCTCTTCACTAAAGGATTACCTCAGCATTTCTGATTAAACTTTCTTGTGCTAGTGTTACAGAGCTGAAGCTCAGCACCATCACCAGCAATCCATCGGTACGATGAAAGGAGCATTGCTAAACTTCCCACTGTTACAAGAAAAAAAACTCTATAATTATAAAATAAAAATTCTGAACTTGAACAAAAGGAAATAAAATATAGTGAGCTTTTAATTTGTAAAATTTTTCTGAAGAAAATGCTGCTGCTTAATTTGTAACTATAAGTAATCGTATTACAATTAAGCAGTTAAAAATAAACTTTTCTTATTTTAAAAATATGTACTCATCACGGAAATACAAAAATGCACATATATTGTATATATTACATATAATCACTTCTAACGTTTTAACATGTTCATATTCCTCTTTGTAGACCCTTCTGAAGGCATACACATAGACATGTATATATCTAACTTTTAATACAAAAACAAACAAAAAAGAGAATCATTTTGTGTTTAATCGGCCCTTTAAATAGTTATCAACATATTAACATGTAATGAACACAGGTTTGCATCATTATTTTGAAAGACTACATCATTATCTAGAATTATGTAGAATCAGTTTAATTTCCGTGGAATCCAGATTCCTGGGGTCCGGGCAGCTGAGGTGACCCACCCAGGCTTTGCCCTGAGATCTTCTTTTCATCCTTGAGCTTTGAGAAAACTGGTTCCCTAAAGTCACCTTTAAGTTGGCCAGTAGCCTAGTAAGTAACTTAATAAAGACTGTTTTACCTTAGACATTGATGTCTTTTGAAAAATTATATCTGTGTAGAAACTCTAAGATTAGACTGGAAGCCAGCTATATTTTAGGGTAAATTGTTACATAAACACTGTTCTGACTGCATTTCCATCATAACATGGGGTTTAAGAATCTTTGAAAGTTCATTAATCTTTGGAACATTTTTGACTTCCTAGTCAAAATGTTACTCTATTCAAAATGTTACTCTGATTTGCAAATCATATATTAAGTAAACTTCAGTTTCTCTTATTGGCTTAATATAATTTTTGTTTTGACATTATTAACATAATTCCCTATTGATGAACATTTGAATTCTTTCTCATTTCAAATTTGCTGAAAACAAAGGGAAAAATCCTCTGTACTAATTTCTTTGGCATATATCTTTAATCATTTTCTTTGGGTAAGTTCCTAGAGTTTGAATTCATGGATCAAAAAGTTCATACACTTTTAAGCCGTTAACAACCAGATTGCTCTGTAGAAATTTTGTACCAATTAGCATCCCCACTGGGAGTATGTGAATCTTTTCTCACTGGATTTTATTTTTTTTTTAGCTTGTAATTTGTATTTCTTTAATTACTAAGTAACTCAACTCACTGCCATTGAGTTGATTCTGACTGATAGCCACCCCCGTTTCCAAGGCTATCAACCTTTATGGAAGCAGACTGCCCAATCGATCTTCTGTAGAGTGACTGGTGGGTTCAAACTGCTGACCTTTTGGTTAGCAGCCAAATGCCATAACCACTATACTACCAGAGCTGCTGCTTTACTCCAACAAAGAAAAACCCACACTCACTGCCATCAAGTCATTTCCAATTTATAGCAACCCCCATTGGGTTTCCAAGGTTGTAAATCTTTATGGAAGCCAACTGCCTCATCTTTATTCTGGGGAGCAGCTGGTGGGTTTGAACCACTGACCTTTTGGTTAGCAGCCAAATGTCTCAACCACTACACCACCAGAGCACCTTCTTTAATTACTAGTGAATATAAACTTTTAAAATGTGCTCATTAATAATTTTTATTTATTTTGTGAATTGATTATTGATGTTTTCTTATTTCTTTCAGTAGTGAATAGTTGTTTATCTGTCAAAAAACAAAGACATTCTGAAAATATATTGCACTTATACTAACTTAGATCTCAGAAACTATTTTTGAATGACATACCCCCCATATATTATTTATCCCACTTATGTGAGACATAGCTCACACAGATCTTTCTTTTCCTCTTTAAGTGATCAAGTGCATCCCCCTCTTCATCCTGATTTTGACCTGATCTTATCGAGTATGTCATTCTTTTCACTCTTTTCTGCTAAGTGGGTAGAGTAGATAGGTTTAAGGTGGGGATAAAGCGAGAACAATTGTTTTCTTAGAATTCTAAGTGTCTAGAGCAGTGCCTGAGATGAGTTAATGCTGCTGTTGTTTTTAGCTGCCATTGATTTGGGTCCCCAACTCACTGTGTTACAAAGTAGAACTGTTCCATAGGGTTTTCTTGGCTGTAATCTTTACACTAGACCTTTCTTCTATAGAGCTGGTGGATGGGTTCAAACCACCAGCCTTTAGGTTAGCAGCCAATTGCAAACTGCTTCTGCTACGCAGGCTCCTGACATGAATAGCAGCACTTCGTGAACATTGTTAGATAAATAGAAGAATGAATCTATTATGATATGATCATTGCCTATTTCTTGGGTCCTTTAATTCATTGCCATCTGGATAACCCTCGGTTAAATTTGATTTAAAGAGAGTGTTTTACAGTTCTGAAGATGATGAATATACCTAAGCCAATTTAAAACAAGTGGTATACAATTTTAGATTGATTTTCCCCCTTCTTTTGAAGCTGTATACAAATTTACCTTTAATCAATGAATTACTAAAGGATATTAGAATTTTGAAGGGCATCACAATTTATCACTTAATCCAATATTTTAAAAGTACTGTTTTACATAAATATATATATGTGTACATGTACACACCTACACATAATTTATTGACAGATGTCTAGAATTTACATCATGTATTGTATTAAACAGGTGGTTCATATAAAAATGGTAACACCTAGAGGTATAATAGAAAAAAGCTGTCAAGGACCTCGTATGTCAACAGGCCCTGATATCCATCACTTCATCATGGGATCTGAAGGTAAATATAACTGAAAATTTATTATGAAAAAATATAGGTTAGTAACTTAATTTTGTGAAAGTCTGTGATATTATGATACCAGATCTTTGGGAGAAAGACATGTTTTACATATTTAAGGAATGATGACTTTTTTTAGAAAGTTTATTATTTTAACTTGGTACTTCGTAAAGTTTTTATTATGAGAACATCTTACTAAACGCCCTCATATTTCTATAGACAGCTCGGTCTTTTTGTTTTTATTTGATTTTCCTTTTAGAGATTTTAATCCATTTTTTTGTCTATTTGTATCCTGTTATTTACTATTTGATTTTTAAAGGAAAAGTAGAATTTAAATTTCTGTTGATTTGTATATATTTCAACTTTTGTTCTTTTAATTTTTCACTTCTTAAGTAGTCTGCTTTGTTACTTAATGCTTGGCAGAATAAAATTTTTCATCTCATCTAAAACATTTAATTTTTTTAAAAAATTTACATTTTATGTGTTCTTTTAAATTTATATTTACTCATCTGTCTAGATCAGAAAAAGATGTTCTTTCTTCTATTTTCCAAATTAACTGTTATGTAGGCAATGTGAATTATATGGGTGAGGTGAAGATGGACTTATTTTTTAATGTTTACAATGGTAGAGAGAGATACCCCTTATGCTTAAAGAAACAGGTAAATTAAAACTTGAAACTGTTTCTAAACTAGCAGAGAAATTCATTATTAACTCCCAAAAGTAGTACAAGCTGAAAAGAGAGCTAGATTTAGGAAATTTTTAACTGTATTCATGGATAAAAGAGCAATCACAATGAACTAAAATGTTAGAGTATACATTTTACTTTTGGTAGTGACATCAAAGAAGGGGGAAAAAAGACTTGTCTCGTAGTAACATGCTAAAGATTAACTATTGGGCCAGTGACCAGTGGTATGGCTTAGATTTTTTTCCACAACATTCAATGACAAACCTTTGTCAAGATACTTCGTCACCTTACTCTTAATCCTTTTCTGATCAGCATACTCATACGAAAATCAGAGCTATATTTTAAATAAGAAATATAATATGTTTAGAATAACTTAGTTCTTTAATATGTATTTTCTGGAACTTCTTATACTAAAGCATCATCTCAAAGTTAACTAACAGTATAACTCTTTATTATCAAACGTTAAATTGAATAGCAAGTAGGTGCTAAAACTGATACTATTGATGTAAACTAGATGGATTGACACAGTGGCTGCAACAGTGGGCTCAAGCGTAGCAAGGATTGTGAGGCTGGCACAGCATTGGGCAGGGTTTTGTTCTGTTGTCCACAGGGTCGCTGGGAGATGGGACAGACGTGGGGACACCTAACAACAACATTGATGTGTAATGAAGTTGGAGTCAACTCTATAAATATAAGTTACCTTTTCAAGTAACTTCATAAAAAATATATTTTCTCCCATAATTAGCATTGTACAGAATTCTGGCTGCTAGGTACTATGCTGATAGTAATGGACCATTATAATACAATAGGATAGATTCTGTGACAGAAATAAATGCAGACGAAATGTGAACAGAAGCAGTTTGGTGGGCGCTTAAAAAGGTTTCCCGGAGATGCCATGCCAATAGTGTAGCCTTGAAGGTTGATGAGTAGAAAATAATTCCAGTAGAGATGAGGAAAGGTGAGGAGGGAATTGCCTGATGTATGCGTGCTTTGAAATGGGAAGAACCATGTGTGCCTCAGGAAACTGCCAGTTTTTCAGTCTAACTGGAACATAAGGTTTGATTGTTGAGTGGGCATAGACAGCAGGGCTTCCTAAGGGTTATAAGGTGGTAGAGACAGTTGGGGCTTTTCATGGCTTTTAAAATAGTTTGAACTTTGAGCTAAAAGACTGGACTGCCTCTCTCAATAGTAAATGATTATATAAATTTAAGGAAAGCATACTTATAATAGTTTAAAATAAATCAAAAGTTACAGGAAATATGCTTATATACTAGACCAAATTACTCTAGGTAAATGAAATTTTATTATAAATATGCATGTAAAAATAGCATGCTAACTAAGAATCATGAAGTCTGTGAGATCTGAATTCCAATCTTGCTTCCACCACTTAAATTTCTGTCACTTTGTGTAAGTTAGTAAGTCAGTATGCCCAAAGTCCTCAGCTATAAAATGGAAATAAGAGTATCTGTCTCTACAGCATGATTATGAAGATTAAATAAGATTATTCTAAGTGGTTTATAATCATATAATAAGTACCCAACAACAACAAAATAATAAGTACTCAGCAAAAGTTAATTATGTTACTATCGTTGTGGCTGTTTATTATTTTGATATCAATGGTTTTTACAAGTGTATTTGTGGTTCCTAATCCCCATTCTTTAAGTGTGTTTATATAGTCATTTTAATATAGACTAGGAGACAGAATGATTGAGAAAGTACATTTATGTGAAATGATTTTCTTTTATGTAATGTATTTTTATCGGCTATTTTGTACAACGTAAATAATAACCCTGGTGGCGCAGTGATTAAGCATATGCCTGCTAACCAAGAGGTTGATGGTTCGAACACACTGGCCACTCCTGGGGTGAAAGATGTGGCAATCTGCTTCCATAAAGATTTCAGCCTTGGAACCCTATGGGGCAGTTCTGTTCTGTCTTTCAGAGTCGATATGGGTGGGAATCAACTCAATAGCAATGGGTTTGGTTTTAATGGGTTTAGCTAATAACCTACTGCTGTTAAATATGAAATATAAACTTTTTTCACCAAGATTTTGAAAAAATTATTTTCATATAATTAAATCATTTGCTGACAACTTTGAAAGTATTAACATCGTAAAACCTATTTTTCCTACGTCTCACCAAGTTCCACGTATAACTGACCATGTGAAGTTTAATACTTTTGTCTGTTTTACATTATAAATTTTCCATACTGATGTTTTCAAAAAGCACTTCTTCCATTTCAGATGCTTTAGTATGATCAATATAATGAAAAGTATAATAACTATTCAAAGCATTTGAAATACTTTATGTTCTTTTTCTAATATATGGCATTTACTAATAATATAATGATTTGTTTATGTGAAAAACAGTTAAAAGTACATTTTTCTTTTTCAACCTCTGACTCAAGGGCTTTAGTCTTTGCTGTACAAGTAAATATATTGAAATGCTCATCATCAGTCTGAACTTTTATCAGTTGTATTTCATCTACTTACCCTTTCATAGATTGCTCTGGAAAGACACATTTGAATGTCTCCTGAGTTCTGGAATACTCTGGTTTTTTCCTGTAACCTTGAAGCACAGACAGATGCAATATTCTGGGATCATTCTTTCTTTCTTTATGCTTCTTCAAAATGCTGCTCTACTGTTGCCTTAGCTTTGTACATTGTCCTAAAGAAATCTGATGCTAGTCTGATTTTCTTGCTTTTGTTGGTTGTTGGCTGTGTTTTCCTGGAGGCCCTGATAATTTTTTTCCTTTATCAAAATATGTTTTACTATGCCGTGTCTTAGAGTACTCATTTTGCTGTAGCGCCTGGTGAACCCTATGTATAATTCAGGTCTTTTATTTTCGGAAACTTTTCTTGGATTCCAGTGTTAATATTTAGTTTTTTTTTCCATTGTTTTAATTTTTGTTTCCAGTTACACTTAGGTTTGACTTCCTTTGCCTATCTTTCACATCAACCACCTTTTAACTGATCCTTTTTTTCTTTTTTCTTTATTTCATTTTTATTCTCTTGGTTATTTTCCTTCAAAGCCTTTATTAAGTTTTCATTTGAAGCTGTTTTCCTTTGCATACCTTGCAATTGTCCCCCCCCCCTTTTTTTTAAAATAGATTTGTTGTTGTTGTTATTTGCCGTCGAGTCGGCCCCGACTCATAGCGACCCCTCCTTGGGTTTCCGAGGCAGTATCACTACGGAAGTAGGATTGCCCAACCTTCCTTCCGAGGAGTGGCTGGTGGGTTTGAACCGCCAGCCTTCTGGTTAGCAGTCAAGTGCCTTAGGCACTATGCTACCAGAGCTCCTTTAAATAGATTTAGTCTTCTTTATTCTAAAAAATCAAACCAATCTCCTATTTATTACTTGGAAAGCGTTCCCAGTTTGAGAATGCCCTTTTCTGTTACTTCTACCCTCTTCTGTACTACTTTTTATTTTTTTTTAAATAAATGGTGTTGTTTTGCCAGGGAGAAGGATGGCATGTCTTGTTATCTTTCATTTCTATACAGGGCTTCCATCTAGTTACTCATAACCAACAAAGCAAAACCAGAACAGACTCAAAATTTTAAAAATGTGGGTGATCCAGATCACTAACCAGAATGGGAAAAATGAGAAGAAGCCTTGGAATAGGAGACTCAGAAAAGGCATAGAATCCTACCAGGAGCCTAATGTGTGACAATAGATTATTGCCAAGACTGTGGCAAGCCACACACATTCATAGCAGTACAGTTGTCCATCATCTTTGAGCCAGGCACAACTGTTTTCAACTCAGTCAAGAGATTCCATTGCTGTATAACATTCACACTGTGCTTATTGTCCGAGAGGGAGATTAAGTTTCTAGCAGGGCTTATAGAAGCTATTTTTTCCTGTTATGGTTAGTGTTCCAGTTCACCCACATTTAAAAAAATTCAGGTCTGTTCCAGTGTCATTTCGTTGGCTGTGATTGAACCAAGTTGAACTAAGGTGAAGCCCTGTTTCTATAGGATCTTTAATTTTTCTATTTCATTCTTTCCCTTCACTACTTTGTCTTCAGAGAGTACCACTTGTATATATGTGATAATCACCTGAAGCACTGCTACTCCAAGGCTGCCGTTTCTGGTTCTATGCGTTTTCAAGCCCCTTCTCATAGTTAGAGCTATGAAGTACTAAGTCCCATGTAGTATTTTGGAATTTATTGTTGTACCTTCACTTTTTGGGTGTGATTTTGTCTGTGCTCCCACCAAGTCCTCTGCTACCCTCTTTTTTTTTTTGAATGGAGTGTTTCAGGCTTCCTCTTACTCATTTCCTACCGTAGAAATTTTCAGCAGCTGGAAAGGCTGTTAGAATTTT